AAGATTGATGATGATGACGGCCACTACATCGTAGTGCCTGAGGCAGATCTCACACCACAATGTTAGTCTATTCGTTCGCTATAATACACGCCTCCATTCGATTCTAACAAGTCCACAGATCAAATTCGGAAACTGCTCGGCCAAGGAACATTCGGCAAAGTAGTCGAAGCCCGAGATCGCAAGCGGGGTGGGCTCGTCGCAATCAAAATCATCCGAGCCGTGCAAAAGTATCGAGACGCTTCCAGAATCGAATTACGAGTACTCCAAACTCTCAAAGCTAACGACCCAGAAAACCGAAATCGATGTATCCATTTACGAGACTGTTTCGACTTCCGCGGGCACATATGTATTGTAATGGACTTACTAGGCTCGAGTGTTTTTGACTTTCTGAAAGGCAATAACTTTGTTCCTTTCCCGAACAGTCAGATACAAAGCTTCGCTCGCCAGTTACTAACAAGTGTTGCTTGTGAGTACGCTCGAACCTGCCATCGCCCTCTCCCTCTAATAGTGACCACGTAGTTCTGCACGATCTCAACCTCATCCATACCGATCTCAAACCCGAAAACATCCTCCTCTGTGACAGCGCCTATCAGACGTTTACGTACAACCGAAGGATACCATCATCAACCAACGGAGCGAACCGGCAGGCCACGCAGCGCAAGGTTCTCCTCGATACTGAGATTCGTCTGATAGATTTTGGCTCCGCCACTTTTGACGATGAATACCACTCGTCCGTCGTCTCCACGCGCCACTATCGCGCACCTGAGATCATACTCGGCCTTGGTTGGTCCTTTCCGTGCGACATTTGGAGTATCGGATGCATTCTCGTCGAGTTCTTCACTGGCGACGCTCTATTCCAGACCCACGATAACCTTGAACATCTCGCAATGATGGAGAATGTCTGTGACAGCCGAATCGATACCCATCTAGTACAAACGGTCAACAAGTCAGCATCACGCAGTAGTAGTAATTCTCCTGCAAAGTAGGTTTCATGGTCCTTTTCGGGAAGGGGGGATCGGCTTTCTAATACGAGAATAGGTATTTCAAACGGTTAAAATTGGACTATCCTACCACGGATACTACAAGAACCTCCAGGCGATTCGTCAGGAACATGAAGCGTCTAAGTGTAAGTGTGAGTGTAAAAGTGGCGGGATAAACCTTGAATTAATGCAACTTTAGGATATCATTCCCGCAACTAGCCCTTTTCTGCGGCTGTTCTTAGATCTTTTACAAAAGATCTTTGTTTATGATCCAGCAAAGCGAATCACTGCCCGCCAGGCTTTGGCACACCCTTGGTTTCGGGAGGCTGCCATCCCGGATGATGGTACCGAAGCTTTAAAAATCCGGTTAGAACGTATGAGGGATAGCGATTACCACACATCTCGGGTCCCAGTCGCGGTATAAGGAGCGACAGTACTCTTTCACCGACAACGTTGATATTGGGAGGAGGAAAATGTACATTTCACCAGGATCCAATGTTTATGATGCATACGTTGCGATTACGATGCCTATAATCTCTATCGGCGTGCATGCAGGGTGGTGCCCGAACGGCGTTTTGGCCAGCATTAGGCGACTGTGTCCATGGCGACGCGGTCACTTTACATAGAGAAATTTGCCAAAGGACATTGATGATCAAAGGAGAGCGGCGTGTGACGTCTTCTCAATATATACTTTACACCAAGCTATATTGCCGTTACTTGGTATATGTACCGGCATATCATGATGGTCACTCTTGGTGCGTTCGTGATAATTGAGGATTCAATCGGCCCAGCAAGTAGTTGCTAGATAGTTGAAGGCTTTACCAGTTTCTTCTGGTAAGTACATATTCCTTCAACACTTCACTAACTCTGGTTCTATTTATCAGGTCCCTCGGCGATTCGTGCCTGCTCCGGCTTAGGGTGCATCTCAACTTCGAGCGTCTAAATCAATGTCCATGTTTCTAAGACAAGCCGAGTATATCTATACGTATGACGCTCAAAACAAAGGAATTACTCGCCAGCGTCAACAGACAACTACAAAGGCGATACCCTTGAGACAAAGGCCCTTGTCTAGCTGTTTTGAGAGCGAGGTTATCCTGGAAAGTATAATACGAGGCTATTCTACGTGTTGTCAGCTTTACTCGACAGCATGTTGATTCAACAAAAAAACATCTACATACAATTGATTTACTAGCCGACATTGATTCTATTGCTGCCTGTGAAATCACTCTAGCTAACCAGATATTCATTACGAAACTTTAATTGCTGTGTGTATTTCCTAATGAGTATCGGGATTCAAGACCTATCGGACGAGCTCATCGTCCAGCTAACCAAAATACTTGGACGGCGTCCTGAGTATGGTATTGCTATACCTTCACGGAGATGGCTGCAAAGGCAAGAAGAGAAGCTGAGGCAGCTTCCCAAAGAGCTGTCAAGACCGTCAGGTTTTAAGCGCCTAGCCATCAAGATTGTTGATAGCATTGACCCAAATATCGTGGACCCGCAAGCCATACTCTGCAAAACCCATTCTCGCCTGAACCCCTTCTTAATCCGAAGGCTGTTCATTGCCCTTGCGTATGAGGTCACAGTCCACACAGATCCCATACGTTCGTGGCAGGGTAGAATCTCGGATCCCGAACTTTCTGCTTTTGTTGGGCGACTTGACTCGATTACGGCATTATGGACTGAACCGCCACTTTTCCACGAGATATACGGGCTCGCCCCGTTCGATGGGCACCATGTATTCGTAAGATCCGCGTGTGAAGCTTGCTGTCTAGCTGCAGTCGGCGCTAGTGGCCGAGCACTAGCGGACCTTCGAGCCGCCCTCATAGATCGCACAGAGCGACGAAAAGAAAAAGGTTCAGGAAAACCCCCTCGCCTATACCGTGTCGTGGAAGCTTGGATCGACCATCTTCGAAAGAATAACGACGGAGGCCGACCCGAAGAATGTAGGGCCTCCAGCGAGGCTCTCTTGATAGAGTTAAGGACGGCTAGACCTCAGATCAGCGCGTGGCGGGCAGAGCAAAAGCGGCGCCACGCCGAACTACGAGCCGCGCAACGGCCTGTATATTCTGAGCTCAAAAGAACCAGCACAGGCGCCAAGATTGCCCCTCTGCCAGCTAGCGCAGGGCATAAAAGACGAACAAGAAACGGAATTCCAGTTGCCTTGGCTGACGTCGAGGGGGCTAAAGAGCAGAGAAGGGCTGCCATGTTTGGGCATCAAGCCGAAAGTATTTATCGTCCCGATAGTCTCGCTGCATATTCTGGAGTGAACATGCGACAGCAAGTTGCTTATGACCCGCCAACCGGCGAGGTTCCTCGTCCTCGTGCCCCTGAACCGGTCCGGGATAGTGGACCAAGCGACGGTTTGCCAACCCAATCCTTTCTCCGTCGGTTCGAGCAAGAGATGACTCTAGACGAAGAGCACGATTCGTATGACGACGCCAGAGAGCAGGAGCTAGAAGACGAGGAGTATAGTGAGGAAAGTCGACGTAAAGTTCAGGATTGGTGGGCAAACCGATTATCTAAGTCTCAGCTTGATCTCGGTCGGGACGATGCAGAAACCGTGTTATCAATGATGCACCCTGCTTTCCGCCCTGGTAGTCGTCGTCTAGCTGAATCTGCTCTGCCTGTCCCCCTTCACGTCAAAAAGGATTGTAATCCACAACCTAAGACTCCAGGAGAGCAATATGTACCCGCGCGGAATGCTTGGAATCGTGAACCACAAGCTAACACTCCAGAAGAGCAATACGTACCCCAGAGTGTTTGGACTGATTGTACTGTGTACACGACACATCCGAATTCTCTCAAGCCTGGTACTAACGACATACCACCAATACCGAGAATACCTTCAGCGTATAGACATCACGAACATCCGTCAGGGAGCGGTCAAGGGACTACATCGGTCGAAGGAAATCAGATAGTCCAGGATAAAAAACAGTCGGCCACGAGTCATCCTCAGCACGAAGAGTCGACCGTGACAAGAAGCCCCAAACGCAGTAAGGCACCCTTGAACTGGCCCGCTCCGCCACAGGGACGCTCACAGCAGTTTTTCCTCCCCAACTCCGACGCAGGCTCCATGGTTTCAGCGCAACGATTCGACTTCCTCCAGGAACGCTTCAAGATGAAGGGGTCGCAGGCTCCTCGGCCAACGTCGCCGACGCCGAGAACACGAACACCGTCGACTCTATCTACAAATATGCAGGCATCCAGCTCTGTATACGACAAGGGTAGCGTGACGTCTATCTCAAGTGCCGTCCCCTCGACGGATTTACATAGGCCAAGGAGCAGGACTAAGGTCGTACCAAAGCCCGTTACCGTCGAAAGCGAGATCGTCCGTCCCGATGATTCTGCCAGTAACGTCCACCGGGGCACTCGGCGTCCCAGCTTGTCATCTGTCACGCAATTGGGAGCCTTTCAGGGGAGGATGTGACGTAATGTCATCATAGGGGAGTAAGTACGTAAATAAAATGTTTTAATAGACCGAGAATTTGTTTACCCTACGATAGAATTAAGCATCTCCGGTGAGTTTTTTACTTTGTCTACTTGATGTTTTAGTTATTTGTTACATAGCCTCATACCTCCTAGATTAACTAACTAGTGATATCTGTAAAATAACAGGGGAGAAGGAGTTTGGTGCAGGATTGAGAGTTGAGAGCTATTTAGTAGAGTGGATTTTGTGAATCCCGCCCTCCTTAAAATCAAGGATGAGGCTTATTTCTTCATGTGTTTGCTCCCTCGCTGTATTTTTGGTCGGCGAGGAACCACCTAACCCACGCAATCGCAAGAGTGTCGCACCACTGTGATGAAAGAAGCCAAAGCAAAGTACACCATTTTATCACAAGCGACAGCTATGCTTAGTTCTACTAGATCCAAACTAAAGATAGCAGCGTTTCTTCGAACCTTTCATAATAGAACTGCACACACTCTATCTAGTCTGAGTCGTTATAAACAGCCAGACGAACATTCAGTTGCCTGCGGTTATGAGGCGAGTCTGCAGTATGTATGACATAACCAATCATTGGGCGAATGGTCTAGAGGTATGATATTCGCTTTGCATCATCGGAGATATTACCTAATTAGGGAAACTCGAAGGTTAATTGCGATTGCGAAGGGTCCGGGGTTCAATTCCCCGTTCGTCCATTATTTTGTCTTTTGGTCTATGATCGACTCTAATAGGTTACATAGATGCCAATCATTATTAGCTTTTTTGTTGTGTTTCTACATGGTACAGAGTGTATTTTTTAGTCCATTCGAACAATTTCAATTTAATGTTCAGAGTGAGAGACATCTAAGTTTTTCAAATTGGCCATGATACATTATGTAAAGCAGTATAGGCTTGGTGCAATTCTGGACTATAGTACTCAGTGTCATCTTCTACTTTGCTTTGAGAAGGTATAAAAATGATGCTACCAGGCTCGACCCCCTCGCTGTAACCCTATGGAACAAAAGAGGCGACCTCGTCAACTCGGTAACGGAGATGATAGGGTTTCGGGGGGCGGATTGGACACGGCCATGGCTTCTCGTCTCCCTCTTTATCGCGGTCACGGCTGGCGTTGCGAAAACTGCTATAACAATCGTCGTAGCGCCGCTCATCATCCTCGATCACGCGGCGCCGGTAAACCCAGCGGCCGTCTACGCCCCTGACTACGGAGCGCCGGGCAACGCGACCGCGGCTGCACGATTCGCCCTGGAGGCGCCACGGTTCTTCCGCGCACTTGGCAGTGCGGTCGTCGATAGCGATATCCGCCAGAAAGTGAAAGTTAGCCCGGCAATGCTGCTAGGGAAAACGGCGGAAGGCGATGATATTTTCCGTGTTGACTATAGCTACGGAGCCACGGGTGCTGATCTGGGAATCCAAAGATACTTTGACCTGACATTCAACGTCACTGGCTCCTGTGTCACCGAGTACGGGTGGTTTCTAGGAACCGACCACTCCACTGGAATCCCAGTAGATGAATACGTGACCCCTTTCGCTGATAGCATCCAATCGGCTTCTTTGTTCGACGGCAGGCAACCATCCGCCACTTTTTACCCAGGAATCCAGACGACAGGCACTCTTAGTGACAGCAATACGACATGGGGGGCCATCGTATCATCGATTAATAGATCGAGCTTCAGCATTGGGACCGACCCTTGGTATCTCACTGCGCCCTTGTCTGAGGACACAAATGCAAACAACATTGTGCTTCCAGGGCGGCCACGGCTTTCGTGCTGGCAAGACGATGTATGGTCATACCATGGGCACAAAAGCACTACCACTAGCTTGACCAGCGATCAGCTCCCAGGTTTAGACTTGTCGGATTCTCTGCAGGGCATGTTGGCGCAATATCTCGGCATCCCCATCGTCCCACAGGTGGGCTCCCACCTGCAAACGTCCGCTCTTCTGTCGGCGACAACGTCGCTCGACCAAATATTCGACGCCGGCGCTAGCAGCTTCCAAAAAGACCTGACGCGACTTGTCCTAACGGCTTATGTGATCACTGTTAACTGTTTAACGGACACAACCTTGTACTCCGCGCCTGGCGCGGTTCCTAACGCTGCAATCGGGGACTCGGGGGTAGTCCCGGATGACCTGGATTATGTCGTTTGGAGTCCGGACGTCGCAACATTGTCTACGCTCGTGATTATTGTCATACCGACTATGTTTGTTGCTGTATGGGTTATAGCTATCACATTGATCTATTTCACCCCTGTCAAAATCGTGGCGATTCTGGATTCTAGCTCTTTGCAAGAAGATCAGAAAGAAAGTCACCCAAGCGGTAACGTGCCGAGCGATGCCCAAGGAGCTAAAAAAATCCGAGAAACAGTAAGATAGTCTTATACGTTTACACTTGAGTTTTCGTCATTAATGACGGTGCAATCAGGTCTGAACCAGCCCCAGAACCTTTACCATAACGTTGAAATTTTGATTACCGGCACAGCTGCCTGAGGATACAAATTGAAAAGACATCTCGAAATACAAGGCCGTAATTCCCCAGTGTCTGGGTATTATTATACCGAATTGTAGTGGCATTGCTGTGAATTGAAAGAAAGGGAAACTCCTTCATGAGATTTGCATGTTTGCCCCTTTTACTTAAAAGTAAATATGTTGAAGCTCAGAGCTCTCACTACGTATTAGCCTAGCTGCATTTAGTTGGTGCATATTATTTTGCTATTTTATCTTTTACACGCCAGTAGTCGTCAGGCTTCAGGCAAGCTGAAAGCTTACCGAAAGTCCGACGACTGCTTCTCCAGTGGACAAATAGCCGCTCATGATTATACCTACTAAATGCGACGCTACTACAGAGTAAAGACGCATGATTGTAAGCCGCTGTAGGTGTGGATTGTGTAAGAGCCGCAAATTCGTATCCTATCTGGGTAGATCCATTATCTAGTACTTATCTAGACAGACATGCATTTCCGCGGGAGATTGATACCCAATCCTCATTTTTACACTTGACAGCAAACAATGCTCGCTAAATCGAGCTAGGGAGATTATTGGAAGAAGGGAAGCTAGAGTTGCAAGCTGAACAATGCAATATATTTAAGCATGTTCTTTCAGCCAATTACCGTTGTTAACAGTACTTAAACCGGCTGTCTTCCCAGCCTGCTGCTGCCTGCCAAGAGAAGTCCTGCATAATTATCTACCCCTCATTGCCTTGTCTAGGTGCCTAGCAGAGTTCAAAGGTGGAGAGGTGGTTAGCACTCTATGGCAGAGCCTCAAAGTCGAACAAAAGAGGGATTGGCGTGGTTGAAAAAAATGATATTACGTACCATAGTTCTCATTCCTGTGGGCATTCTATACTCCATCATCCAACCAAGTTAGATTCGACAAAGCGCTGGCATACTTCTGGTATATAGCTGTAGGCCGCGGCCTTCTCGAGCTCATCGAAGATATGTTTCGAGTGGCCCCTCGGGGCAAGAACTGGGGCTTATCTGCAACCCTGCCCGTCATGATTGTGGCAGCCTGAGGCGATAAATTGATGTGCGGGATGGTGACGTGTTCACCTAGTGACGGCTTGTGCCGAACTGCTACCCTCCATCAGCAACCCAGTCGATGCCTATGCTGACCGGATGGCGTTCCAGCCACACGAGATCATCGGTGTTAGCTTCGGAAAATGAGAAGCTGGTGAACTATGGAACCGTTTTGAGTATCCAATGCAATAGGCGCCCTGATGCGATAGTTTTAATAATGTTCGAAGTTCGCTGCCACCATCATCTGAGTGATCTGCTTCTGGACCCTCTCAGCTTTTAATCAAACTGTTTCCCAGTTCCTTGGACTTTGACATTGCCGCTTACATACCGAACTCAGAATTGGGAGCAGCACGCATACATTTTCATTGTCCTCGTCTCCAAATACAAGCAAGATAAGCGTCCGTACTGCGTAATCTATTGGCCGATTCACTCTTTGCCAGGGCCCCCGTAAGCCTCGGGCGTTTGATTCGCCACTGAAACGAGGACAGAATCTGGCTATGTGTGGCCAGATTTGGGCATGGGGAGCCAGGATGGTGTCCAGAATCTGGATTCCGGAATCTGCCTTCCATGGACCTGCATAATTATTAAAACCTTGCGGCCTTCCATTTTGTAAATTGAATTTTGTACGTTGCAGGAAAACGTAATTTGTGCATACTATACAGCGCCTCAAAATTTCTACATACCAGAGTTAATTGCTCTGCCCTTCAAAGAGTTTTTTTCATTCAATAATTCATTCGCTCGACCACTATATTGGAAGGGCTGTGATTTAATACTTAAGCCACAATGTCAAATTCAGCTTCCATTCAGTCTCACTTGAGACAACACGAACAGTGGCTTATTGGGCTACGTCGTGACCCTAGTAAAACTCTTCGACAAATCAAGGACGAGTTATATGAACAAAAGGGTATCACAGTTAGGTGTGTCTTCTCCAACCATGTCCTCAGTTAACTGTGACTCATAAAATCAGTAACAACCAGTTGGAGATATTTTTCAGAAAGTCAAAACAGCCCAAGAATCTCTCACGGGATTCGTGGAGAACGGTGTACCATTTTCTGGATTCTCAGAAGAAGTTCGGGTGTGTTTACAACCTCTACATTAGTGAAAAGTTGGTGTTGGAAAATACTCTGCGGAGAAACCGAAGGAGAGTTAGGAATCTGCATCCGATGGCCTCGAGCCTTCGTGAAGCCAGTACGTGAGGTAGTCTTGCGACTCGAGCCCTTCAAATGGCTTACAACGACTTATGCAGATGAAATACTCACGGAACTTCCCGTGGGAGTCACGGTGGAATTGCGTCTTCCACGAGACTCTCCAGGCCCTAGCCTACAGCACAGAATTAATTCGCAGCCGATGCTGGAGGCAGGCTCTACTACTAACTCGAGCAGAGAGCCTAGTGTGTTGCATGGTCGTATTTCGGCTGACAGCGCTATACTCGAGCCAATTGCTAGCATTGCCGATGTAAATGCGACCTCTAGCTCCACCGACTCACTGTCTGCGATCATAGATATTCCGAGTCCATATCAGGGACAGCTTGTAGACTTCCCAGCCACCGCGGACGCACACCAGACACCCCCAGGTATGAATTTTCGCATGATGCCTGAAATAGAGAGGGGAGCCGAATTTGTTTTGTTCGATCCACCAGTTGCAGATTATCGGGCTAGAGAATTTCCCCTTTTCAACTCTCCGTTGAATTCACATCTTCAAGGTGCGTTTACATAGGCTGAGCCGAGGGATCTTTCCAAACACCTCCTATTCTATAGGTTCTCGCAGGAATGCTTTAGTTACTTAATACATTGGCTAGTGGATTTAACAAACCAAGATGACTCGATGATAGGCTTGCTTATGCCAGCTGAACGTGACGACGGAAGTCAGGCGAGCGTCACTCCGATGGAATGTGCTCAACTCCTGCTGCGGGATTTCGGTTCTGTGATCTCCCGGCGTGGACCACATGAGATGCACAAGCTGTTGCCCACTGCCGAGGAGCTCCTAAGCAACCTGGAGTCCCTCGTGTCTATGGAGGATACGGAGGAGTTCCATGACCCGTTCCATGTTGTTGGTGGCAACGTACTATTCCCGGATCAGTTCGTTACATTGTTCCTCTATGCCACCGTCAACAACTTCGCCGGCATTGACACTATACCTATGAAACTAATCATGAGATTCATGAATCAGCATCAGCCTTTCCGGTC